AAATTTAAATTCAATTTTATTTCTTAATTTTGTTAATAAAAAACATGATTAACAGAATGTTATAACTTGACCTTAAATAAGGGTTATTTTCTTCAACTTGTATAGATGAAAGGCTAAAAGTATTATAATATAATATTAGAGGTTAAAACCTACAAATTTATTAAAGTCAAGGGTTAAAAATGTTACAATATAAGGTAAATAGCTAAAATTTATAAACTTATTAAGGTAAAGAGTTAAATAAATTAAATTAAACTCTCAATTTAATCCCTCAATTATTATGATTTAGAGTTGGTCTTTAAATTAAAAAAATTTAAAATTTTATACCTAAAGTTTTCATAATTGGCCCAAAGTTAGTTTTTTCATTAAAAAATTGTTGACTTAGCTCGTTACATGACAAGAGAAAAATAACATGTACAAAATTTTTGACACCTATAATTTATAATTATGGGCAACAAAATGTCACCTGACCCATGAACTTCGCCTTAACTTGATTTATGCAAATGAGTTAGGGACAACATATCCCAATCCATGACCCCTAAATAACTTATATTATCAATCTACACAAGCCACAAGTTGGGTACAAGTCAACTCCTCAGTTGATTGGTTAACCCATTTGCTCTTTGTTTTATTAAAAACCATTTTATTTATTATTTTTAATTAATTTTTCTATTAGTAACTCTTTTCATTGATTTAGACTCTTCAACCTTCTCTCTATCACTTGCATGGTTTTAAAACTATTTTGAGTATTTTCTCATTCTTATTTCTTCTTGGTTCTCTGAAAAATTATATGAGTTTGATACAATTATTAAGTATTATGAATTAGGTAATAATATAACTAAAAATATTGAAAATGAGATGTTGGGATATGAACATAGCGATTTAGTGAAAAAAGTTCATGAAAAAGCAATTTCATCTTAAGCAAAAGCTTAAACTCTTTGATAAATCATATTTCAAGATGATGATTACAAAGTTCTAACTTTATTTTCTAAGAAATTTTTATTTTTTTTTATCAAATCTATAATGTAAAAAAAAAAACTTTAATAACAAAAATAAATACCTAAATATTAAAATACTCATAAAAAGAGTATAAGAATTTTCCTTTTTTGATCTTATGTTACATAGCAATTATTTTTTCTCTTTTAACCTACTCTACTTATATGTCACATAACTTGAGAACTCATGATTTTTTATTTTTATTATAAGAAAATTATCAGTGTTAAGTTATTGGCAAAGTATACGAATTTTAACTCATCATAAAAATGAAAACCAAAAAAAATGGCTCACCGGAATGAATTGAGCAAAAATTAAGAAATGGAGGGGAGGATGGCATATATATAAAGACAAGGCTAGAACAGTTTTGGAAAAGAAAAAATATTGTTTTGAAAGGGGGCAGTTAGGGATCCATTTGATACTTTCTTTATAATTATTTTGTGTTAAAAAAATAAAAGTTGGTCTTAAATTTATGAATTGTTTAATTAAAATTAGGTAAGTGATATTGATATTAAAATTAATATTATTTTTTATTTTTTATATAAATTAAAGACAAAATATATTAATTACAAATTTTAAAACACAAATTAAAAAGTTTCTTTTAAAAATTCTAAGTAAAAGCATAGCTTTATAATTTTACTTGTTACATTATTAAATGAATAATGATAGGTAAGAAAAAAATTTGAGATTAATGAGATAATATATGTCATATCATTAAATTAATTGATATATATAATATTACATATCTAAAAAATAAAAAAAAATCAATTATTAAATCATATAAAATTTATTTTTTAATATTTTAAATTACATGACTTATATCACATTATTAATCTTAAATTTTAATCTTCAATTTTCATTTCAATTATTTTTATTTTTATTAAATTCGAGCATGACAGTAACTTTTAAAATTGGATACGTTGGTAAGAAAGTATCAATACGTTGTACTCCTTATAGTATTCTCTCAGTACTAAAATAATTGTCCTTTTTATTTTTTAAATTAGAAATTTAAAACAATTTATTATGTTTTTACCTAAATTATTTTAAAAAATAAATAAACAACAAAAGACTTTTTTAATAAAACAATTAATTAAAATAAATAAATAAATAAATAAAATAAAGTAAAAAAATATATTTATTTACTTTAAAAAATAAAAAATAACTATTTTTTTTTTAATCTTGAATTGATCAAATAGGAAGTAGGCCTCTTTCAATTTTTAAACCATTCCAATACCATATTATCTTAATCAAATTTAAAATTTTTTATTTTTAATATAAAATTATTAATTAAATATTAAAATTATTCATAAAAATAATTATTTATGAGTAATGAAACAAACACCGATACTTGCAGGACGAATTTAAATGACGACTTACTGTAGCTTGCCACGCACATAGACCCCAACACCCCACTGACTGATTTGGATTTTTATTAAAAAGGATAAAATTTTACAATCACGTAAGTCACTCTTTAAATTCGTCCTGCAAGTATTGGTGCTTGTATCATTACTCATTATTTATTTTAAAATAAATTTAAAGTTAAAAAACCGATCATAGTTGATTATTTTTCCTTTATTTCAGTCCATTGCCAGGTAAATTGATGTATTTTTGTATGACTTATTCTGGCAGAGTATTCAGCCTCATTCTTGTCAGCCAAGAAAAATCAATTCTAACTCCACTCCACGCGCGGTTGAAACTGTGTTGACAAGGAAAAGGCCCTCACCTCCTTCTCGACAATCGTCTTCAGCGTCCTTCTCTCACATCTCACTTTCCCTTCCGTTCTCCCCGTGTTTGCAAGCTTAAGCAATCCCTGTTTCTAGCTTCAATTTCAGCTTCTCTGCTGTCTCTGGAGGATCCGAGTGAGAGAAATCGTCCCATCTCTATCCTTTCGGCTGATTGTTCAGGTACTTTAAGTTACCCATTTCTGGGTACCCAAAAAGTTCTGTTTTTTATTTTTGGGATCTTTGGTTTCTTTTCACCTGTATCTAATTATGTGGTATCTTCCCCTGAGAATTGTTCTGTTTATTGAAATCTTAGCCAAAGTTTACACATTTTGATCTCTTCCTGTTCCTCGAGATAGTATCTATGATCTGTTCCTTTTTTCTTTTTTATTTTACCTTAGGGCATTCTTAATTTTTAATACATTACATCCCACCGTCGAATCCCACTTATTTACCTTAAATTTAAGATCTTTAAGTTTTCCAATCATCAATTTCCCCAAAATCTGTGTTCTTTCTAGAGTGTTTCCTTTCTGTATCATCATCATTTGTGTCTGTTTTTAACAAGGATGGGAGGTGGATGTAGCAAAACCGAAGGTATGGATGCTGCAGAACCGGCTCAAGTCAACACTGATGCACCAACACTGCCACCACTAGTCGACACTGATTCCAAGTACGCAGCTGATTTGAGCTCATATGAGGCGGCTTGTAGAGTTGATCCTGACTTGCAGACATTTGACCAAATGATTCATGCTCGCGCTAGCCGTGCCCTCAATTCACTGGCCACTGGTGTTGAGGTCCATGCCTTGTCATTTGATTCACTCAAAGAGGTCACTGGATGTCTTCTTGAAATGAACCAGGATGTTGTCAAAGTCATTCTAGAATCCAAGGAGGATATATGGAACAACAAAGACTTGTCGTCTTTAGTGAAGGAGTACTTTGAGAGCAGCATACAGACATTAGATTTTTGTGCTGCCCTTGATAATTGCCTGAAACGGGCACGAAAGAACCAGCTGATTATTCACCTTGCTGTGCAGAAGTTTGAGGAAGAAGTACAGGTACATGATGTGGGTGATGAAAAGAAGTTTGTGAAGACATTAGATGAATTAAACAAATTTAAAGCTGCAGAAGAGCCATTCAATGAGGAATTCTTTAAACGGTTTCGGTCTCTGCATAACCAGCAGTTCTCATTGTTGAAGAAATTGCAACAGCAAAAGAGGAAGCTGGATAAGAAACTTAAATCAGCGAAAACATGGAGAAGGGTGTCTAATGTCTTATTTGTTACTGCCTTTGTCTCTGTATTGATTTTCTCAGTGGTTGCTGCTGCCATTGCAGCACCACCTGTAGTAACAGCTGTAGCAGGTGCTTTGGCAGTTCCAGTTGGTTCACTGGGAAAATGGTGTAGTTGGCTTTGGAATCGTTATGAGAATACATTGAAAGGGCAGAAGGAGTTACTTGTTTCAATGGAAATTGGTACGTACATTACAATTAAGGATATGGAAAATATAAGGGTGCTTGTCAGCAGAATGGAAATTGAGATTGAATCACTTTTGCATGATGCTGATTTTGCACTTAGAGAACAAGAGGCAGTGAAGCTTGTGATTGATGAAATCAGAAAGAAATTGGAGGTGTTCATGGGAACCATTGAGGACTTGGGTAAACAAGCTGATAAGTGTAGCCGGGAGATAAGGATGGCAAGGACAGTGATCTTGCGGAAGATAATGGGACCTCCTTCCCAACCCACATCTCTAGATGCCCTGTGGAGCCGATTAGATTTGTGATGCTGGTTATGTTATATCAATTATATGCTCTAGGTAAAAAATGCTAACTCTGTCTATGCCTTGTTGGGTCTTTCCATGTTTTCTTATGGTTTATCTAATTGATATCAACCCCTTTCTTCATCAGCAATGATTTCCCTAAGTTTTGATGTTGAATTCTTCAACACAGTTTGTGTTATATTGCTGATTGTGAACATGTGTAACTTTTTGCGTTGCTTATGGCTGTAAACAATAAGCATGATTAAGAAATAATAGAGAATTAGAGTTGCATTTTGGTTGCTTAATATGTGAGAATAAGGTTGTAATGGCTAAAAATATGGAGAACATGACGGAATAGCCATTATAACATCATTATCACTTATTAAACAAAATCAGGCAATGGCATTTGCTAATTTACTCATCACCCCCACTGCATTCTAATTTAGACTATGTGCTACTTCTTCGGTAAACCAGGCACCAACTAGGTAGTTGATGCAAGTTTGTGACAAATATAATGCAGGAGGAGCTGGCATTATTTATGCTGAGCATAGAATGTTGGTGAATATCCTGTCAAGGGTCAAGGGTACTTAGGATAATGGGGGCAAGATGATTTAGTAGCCGAGTATTGAGCCCGTGTAATTATCTTTGCCTTGTTATTTAGTTGCTTTAATAACCTAGCTTCTATGCCATTAATGTGCCAACTCCTGTCTGCACTCTATGATGTGGAAGGTTAGGGGTATGGTGAGTTTAGGGATTAAAGGCTGATTAGGCGGGGAGTATGAACAGTAATATAGGAGGCTGTTTAACGATGAAAAAAGTCACACCTAGCTTTCTTTACGCATTCCACCTAAAGAGATGGAAAATCCTTGGGTATCACACCTAATGTTGATTGTATTATACCTTCTCAATGCAGAATATGCTAAGACCTGAATATATATCCTAACACTACTAATAAATTAAAAAGAAATTTAACTTCTATTCCCACTAACAATAATAAAAGATTTTTTTGGTTTTAGGGGTAACTCTTTTCTGTTTCTTAATCAATATCACCTATATATTATATGATTCAAACTCAAATTTTCTTAGATTTAGAAGAGGAAATTATTATTAAATTATTTAAGTTAGTTATATAATAATAAAAATTTTGTGCCGGTGATGATGGTAATTGATGCTGAAATTAAAATTATCACTATTGCACTTACAAGCCCCTTTACACTCAAGATGTGTACGGATAGACCCTCATGGTGAAAGGATAATTTTGGGCTCATTGGTGATCCAAACTCCAAAGACTTCCTTTAAATACATTGGGCTTATCCCCAGTTTTGTGAGTGAGCCTATATCATTTGCCCAGCTAAGAATAGACATGCTCCTAGAAAGATGCTTATTCTGTTAAGGGAATACAACGCAAGTACTCTAGTGGCACATATCATTTCCTAGTCACATCTCCCATTTGTAAAACATAAAATTGTGTATGTCTTTGATCATGGGCGCATCAGGTATCGATCCCACTGTGACTTTTCTTGTTTAAGCCCTTATAGTGTCCTCTAATTGATGAACGGATGCATTATTACTTTCTTGAGGGGACAAAAGAGAAAAACAGCTAGAAGAAATTCATCAATGCCAGCATTTATAACTATTTCTTATTGGTGGCTCTGATTTCCTAACAATTCTTTGTTGATATGCATTCGAACACATCCAAATTGGATTGCATCAAATCTATTTTTAAATTTGATGTTGCACTTTCCATCGATAAAGAAAAAGAAAAGATTGGCATGTTCATGCATTATTCAGTGGTTTTCGTTTCACAAATTTTAGGAGAGGGTAGATGAGAAAACAAGCAATCTAATCAGAATTCTGGGGGGGGAAAGTAGTTCTATTTCTGGGTTTTGTTTATTGTTTGTCTGTTAATTAAAGCCTGAGATTAAGGAAAATGTTGAACAACCTAGAGGACATGTAATACAATTCAAAGCCAGCTCCAAGCAGGCAGCTTGGGTAACACATCAGTGCATTGGTGCGCTAAATCATCTTAAGCAGATGGCCGCCTTGTAGGATCTACATCATATAGATAGGATGGACGAATAATTTTGCTCAGAATATGTGCTATTCATCCAAATGGACTTAAAACAGAGATAAGGCATGCTATAATTTGTTTAGGGATTGAAACAAGATAGGGAACATTATTGTCAAACGCAGTACGACCACACAATGTTAATCTTTTTTAGGGTCATTGAGATTGCGTTGTCATCCCTGAAAAATTCTACATCTTGCGCGTTGAAAGACACCACTGTTTTAAGTGGAGCAGGAGAATGGCAATTCCTTGAGCACTTGGTAGGAATTTTGGGCATCACAAACCCATATCCTTTTATAAAATGATTAGTTTATCTTCTTATTCAAGATATTTTTTAATATATGTTTAATTTAATTATTAAAATATTATATTAATACAATCAATTCATTTAATTTTTGCATCATATATGAGTATATCTAAAATTTGTCAACTTTTAATAAAATAATAGTGATAA